ATATATATATATAAAAAAATCAGGTATTGACTATAGAATCACTTAAGGGTCTTTTCCAACCTAAATGATTAAGAACATCGAATCGAACCAGTAATCTAAAACTGCCAAGTCCACCACTAAACCATGTCCCTAAGCACCACATCTACACATCTTTTAAATACCTCCAAGGATGGTCACTCAACCACTTCCCTGGGCAGCCTGTTCCAATGCTTGACAACCCTTGCCGTAAAGAAATTTCTCCCAATATCCAACCTAAACCTCCCCTGGTGCAACTTGAGGCCATTTCCTCTTGTCCTAGCACTTGTTACTCAGGAGAAGAGCCCAACACCCACCTCACTACAACCTCCTTTCAGGTAGCTGTAGAGAGCGATAAGGTCTCCCCTCAGCCTCCTCTTCTCCAGGCTAAACAACCCCAGTTCCCTCAGCTGCTCCTCATAAGGCTTGTGCTCCAGACCCTTCACCAGCTTTGCTGCCCTTCTCTGGACACGCATGGAGTCATTTTGGAGCTTCAGCAGATCAAGCTTATGCTAACGGAAGGATCAAGCTGATTGGGGCAGGTGCAAAAGGGACTCAGGGCTTGTACGGAAAAACTCCATACCCCTACAGGGTTTCAAACTCATGGAAGCATCTAATAAGCTGAGTTAGCAGAATAGCTAAGAAAAACTAAGTGGGGATTTCAGGTTGTCCTTTAGCCTCCAGCACTATTGGGCCTGGCCCAAGGCTATGCACTATTTGGTATTACTTCATAGGCTTCACCAGCACATAAAAGTAAGCCACGGTGATACTACCTGGTAAAGCACATCAGCTACATCAACCTATGTCCTGTATGCCCTGTCACACTGCAGGCCCTAAGGACACCAGTGCCACTCACGTTCTCGGAGTCAGCAGCGTGCGTTCGCTGTGACGCATTGTGGGAAACAGGCGCACGGCCTGGAGCCAAGCAGGCATCATCAACTCTATGCCCTGTTTCTCAGGCTGCAGATAAAGCAGGTACTTCGATTTGTGTCATTTGAGCTCCCTTCTGCTGTGCTCACAGGTTTGCTGAAAACTCATGTCTACATATGGGCATCGGTCCAAACAGTTTGGACAGGTGCCTGTGCTTAAGATACAGTTTAGTTGTAGCTTTACTGACCATCTGCCATAGGTTAATCTCACACCCGAGGAATTACATTTAATTTGCTCTGGAATTACATAGTACCTTGCTCTCCAAAATGCTGTCTACCATTTTACCTGTTTATAGTAAATAAAATAAATTTGGTAAAGCATTCTGTGAAAGTTGGTGGTTCAACACCACCACACAGACCAAACTGCGACCATTCTATTAATTTTTGGCATTAATCCTAAAATACAGATTAGTAACAGAGAATCACAACATTTTAACACTGAATTTACCTTTTTGTAAAATGGCTGGTCTCCAATTGCCCTTGTTTTCAGAAATTCTTCACTGTTAAACACTCTATGTTCGTAGTTTAGATGGTCTTTTACCTCCCTGGAGACAAAAATAAATAAATAGATAAATATGCTTGGAGATTTGTAAGCAAGTTGCACTTCTGCAGTAGCAGCAGCCCACTGGTACTACTAGAAATACACTGCAGCATCAGAAGGCAAAACAGAAATATGCTGCAGTATCAGAAGGCAAACTCAGTTTTCATGAACAAGTTTGAGTTACTGAATCACAGAAAAAGAACACAAACTCTTATAAGTAAGACAGGCTACCTGCTGCCACTGCCATTTCAAATCAGCAAATTCACTTAGAGTCTGTGGGATCAATTTTAGTAACCCACAGAGGAGAATCTATATACTGAAGTCATGACTTAGGCTCCCTCCAGTTCTGGAATCACATTTACATACACAGTTCCTGAATCACATACAACCTATCTGGAGCACTAAAAAGACAAGTGTACCTATCCGCACAGGCAATTTGAAAGATGCGATGTGACCTCACAATGCCCCATTACAATGCATCTGTAACATGCACATGAAATATTACACATTATGTAATTTTTTGCTGCACTCTCAAACTCTGCTCATAAAGCCAGCAATAACTGGAAATTGTGTTAAACTGAAGAGACAGAACTATTGAAACAAAAGAGAAAGTGAGACAAAGAATTGATGCATATTTTAGTACATGAATGGTGACAGCAGGCAGCAGAAGCCCTATGCTATGCCTGGAAAACCAGACATCAATAGTAACTTCTGTGCCCTAAAGGCAAGCCAGAACAAGTTGTTTCAGGAGCAGAAAATGGGAGTTTTTCAGAAAAAGGCTGTTCTCTAAACTGAAGTCTGAGAGTAAGAAAAGATAGTTATTTAAGCTAGATATGTGCAAGTGGCTAAAATCAGGGCTCCTTTTATTATTACATCTTATTTCATCTACTTATGCTGGGTACTGAGGAGTAAGAAATTCCCATTAAAACATGTGAACAAAGAAAATAATTTGGTGAGCTAAAATTTGAATGCAAGTACAAAAGGGGAATCTCATACCCATGCACAGACCTGACAGAAGGCCTATACATCACTTGTCTTTTATAAATCAGTGATAAAAGCCCATTACCAGTTTATCAAGCCATATGGGTTCAGGAAAAAGATGGTTAGTAAAGTATATAGTTCTACATAATTCTACATAATTTAGCATTGTTTGCTTTAAACACGGAACCTCCACACACACAAAAATACTACAGTGCTTCACTGAAGACAGTAGCAACTGGGAGCACAATTGCATCAGAGATTTACTTTCCTTCATTCCTGGACGCTGGTAGATATAGCATTAGAAGACAGAAGAAACAAGGCTGAAAAAAAGAACAAAGAAAGAAAGTTTGAAGGAAAGGAGAAAGAAAGCAAGAAAAGAATCAACCCCTTTGCAAAACACATTATCTCTTAGAGAGCAAGGCGTCTGTTCATTTTTTTGTAGCCAAGCGTTTAGTGCGTTAAAGAGTTCAAGCTGTTAGCAGCAAAATGCATTTCTCCTCATCTTTTATCTGAACATATTGTTGCCAAACACTGAAATCCACCAAATCCCACAGTGGTAGCACATCAGGTTGTAAATGCATTTCATTCTCCTTATGCAGCTGTGCTAGCTCTAAAGCCTGTTCTATCCTCCATACCCAGCAGCTGTTGTCCCCCTGGAGGGCCCAGCCACTTGTACAAACACTCCCCAAGCTGATCCAACAAGATTTTGTGAGCAGGTTAACAGAGACCTGGTATTCAGACTATATAAATTAACCCAACACCTTCTGACTGAAGGTGTTAGGGAGCATTCACGTGAGCAATTCAGTAGCTGATCCAAAGGGGAGGCACCATCTCCAGCAAGAGATAGCTGGGGATGGTTATCTGCGCAGCTATTTGCAGACTTCTGTCCATATAATCAGATTCTTTAGAAATACCAGGTAGGCAGTTTCATTTTCATAGTCAAGTATGTTAGTATCTATGTAAAAAGAAGTTAAGCATATGCACACCAGCCATCCATTTGCTGCACTTTCTTGTACAAATCACTTACCACACTTTCATTCCCTCCCCAAATACAAGCAAATAATAGCAGGATTTACAACCAGTACCCAGATAAAGCCACTGTGGGTGTCAACAGATTAGATTAGGTTAAGAAACAAGGAAAATTAGCATAGCTAGACCTTTTTCTAGAGGCGAAAAAAAAACCAAAACAAAACAAAACCTACCCCATGTCATTATTAAAATGTCACTTCCAAACCACACCAAATACCCAGAAGTTCTTGTGCCAACTCTGTCCTTGAGCCGAAACAGCTCCTCTCCCTCCTTCATTCTCTTGTAGTTGCAATCTCCAGATATCTCACCCCTTGTCAGAATTTGTAGTTAACCAAAACACACCCAAGTGTTCTGAACTCCCAATCCTGCTTTCAGGTCTTCTACCCTGTCCCAGTTCAAATTCATTTTTCTCTAACAGGAGTGACTAAGACCGTTTCCAGTTAAAAATTAATATCCCTACTGGGCCTTAAGCTTTTCCTAATTATGAAATGTGAGGACACATTTCTCTTCCTGTAATCTTTATACAAGAGACATACAGGTTCAAAATTAGAACAGCAATCTATATGTACCCAAATATATTAATTATTGATATTCCAGCAGGCTAGCAGGACCTCCTTCTCACACTCCCTCACAAAACTTAAGAGATTTACAAAATATCTGTAAAGTAAGACAAAATAAAGAATACTGTCAGTGACAGTAGAAGTGTCTTAACCAGTACCGTATGTTCTTATAATAAAAAATACTCTATCCACTCACCTGAAGATATTAACAATTAACTGCAAAGTTGTTTGCTGAACTTCTGTATTCAGTTTCTGTTGCCAAGCCCTTCTATGCATTTGGAGTTCACTAAGATCTGTGCTGGCTCGGAGATGGCAGAGCTCTAGATCATAATGCAGCTGAAGACTCTCCACTCTACGCAGAGAAGAAAATTATGAAGTTACACCCTAACACCAATGATTTTTTTCATACCTTTTAAAGAAAAAGTCATTTAGGCCTCACACATCTTACAGCTAGAGAAAGTGCAAGATTGATTTGCAAGTGTTGACAAGCTAACAAGATTCCTGGAAGTCCTACTAGTACATGTAAATCACAGTGCACTCAGTCTTCTGTGTAAAGAACAGTAAAGTTCAGAGAAAAATCAGTATCAGTGACAAAAAAAGAAACAAGTATTCCAGGTATTGCAACATAATATGGTTATGATTATGACTGCTTAAAGTTACTTGTTTATTAATAAATTGAAATTTTCAATTTGCCCTTATCAAATACAGCATTTCTATGTGAATGAAATAAGATAATAATTAATAATACAAAACAAAAACTTAGAAAGAGTTCATCAAGCATGATTTATGCACTAAGATAAACACAAATTCCATGTCTTTTCACCTTTTTATAAAAGTTTCTGCTGCTTGTACTGGAACATCTGGAATTTCAGGTTCCTCTTCAGCTGTTTTTGAATGTGTAATATCTCCATTATCTATATTAATTAGAATTAAGTCTTCTGTTTCCTTTTAACAAAAGAAAATAGAATGACTGTAAATATGCTTATATTGTAAAAACATTTACTTCTCCTTTATGTACTCCTCGGACAACGAATTGTTTCAGCAAGAAGGTAAACCAGAAAAGGACCGACTTTTTTTCCCAACTAGAAGATCATATGGATAACTAAACAATTACTTTCAAGAAAAAACCAAGTCATTAAATTAATAGATATTAACCTCAGTACATAAACTAGTAGTATTAAATTAATACTGTATCCCTAAGCCCATCTTGAAAAGGTATACATTATGAAGATATGTACAAAACCACATATATCTATACAAAGAAACTCCCAGAAAGCTTTCTCCATTCAGCGTTTACTCCTGTACTTACCCTGTGGGATAACAGGGAGAAGGAGGGTTTATGTATTAGTCTCAAACACAGAAACACATGCTAACGTACGAAAAGTCACATGGAAGTAAAGCCCATGCTGATCTCTCAGTTTGCAATTTTAATAACCTTAAAGATCAGGCTGCAACACAGCGCCTATAAGCAAACATAAAATCTTTCAAATTATATCAAAGAAAAGTATGCTGTCTAATCTGTACTTATTTCTGATAGTGACATCATCTTATTGCTAGCTAAAATAAATATCTGCTTCATTTTAACAACTCTTTCTTCATTTTGGACTTGCCTAGATGGGCCAGTTTCACTTTGGTTTATAATTAGATGGATGCATCCAACATAAATGTACACAATTTTTCTGTGTTTGGTTTTGAGCGCTCACAGAAACCCTATGTGACACCCTTAAAAAAGTATACTCACATTAGCCCTCCCCTATAAAGCTGAGTTGTTCTTTAATCTTGGTTACCCAAAAAGACTTATGTTACCCACTGAAAGAGGCGTAGTTAAGTAAGATTCTGAAAAAAGATGACAAAAAACCCTCAGAAAAATTGAGAGTATTCTAATGTATTCTTTACATTGCTTTTTCTTTCTTTTTTATTAAATACTTCACTATGGGGAACAGCAGCATCATTAGAGTATTTTCAAATGCATGCTCAATTGTTAACCCCGATGCCTGGAAAAGGCACCTAATTCATCCCACACAACTCTCAGCAAAAAATAACCTCACCGATCTGAAGGGAAACTATACTATACAAACAACACGCAAATTGAATTTTTCCCCAAATGAAACTTGAAGTCACAAAAATCATGATATTATCCTGCAAAGAAAAGAAAGGTAAGGGATGCAACAGTAAGTTTTTTCCAATAAGCTAGTGGTCGCATCAGTATGGTTCCATTACCTTCAATTTCTTCACTTCTCACACGCCTAAATAACAAAAGTTTCTAGATGTATCTGAACGAAGTAAGGAGACAAATGCACTGAAAGTGAACAGCAAGAGTGGTAATTGTCTAAAACGTACCTTGCTAACTTCTTCAAAATGATCAATATGACATCCCATAAGAAAAGATGTTGGGGCCATTACAAAATCCAGCATTTGACGAGACAGAATAGGCACAAAAGTGTGCTGCCACTGAAGAGGATGAAGGTACAACATAAAGCATTCAGCAATGAGCGTCAACAGAGCCCAATCAGAAGAGAAGAAAACTATTCTCTGCTCAGTCAAAATACAGGTCATAATCTGGAAAAAAATACAAAATGCTAAACGTTTACAAAGAGTTATACCTAGAACATACTAGATATGCACAAGCATTTCATCTGCTTGCGAAACTCAGCCTCATGAGTTCTGTTTTCTAATAGCTACCTTACATATTTATAAACTGAAATAATGGCCACTTAAGAATTCTTACAAAATTAACAAGAGAGGAAAATAGAAAAGGAGAGAAAATTTAATTGACATTGAAAGTCAATGAGAGTTTTGCCACTGATGTCAATGAGGCTAGGATTTAGCTGGAATTACTGAGAAGACCTGTCACCTTTCTTTCACAGTATTAGACTGTAAAATGCCTGTAAAAAGTACCCAGATGAAGAATATAGGCAAACCTGTCTTTGATGATGAACACAAAGACTATCTAGGTTTCAGAGAACTCAGCCAAACATCTATTCAAGACTCTAGCTAGTCACATTCCTTATAGTGCCACTGGAGAGCAGTGCTTTCCCAGAGCAATTCAGGAAGCTACCTGGAGATGCCCACCTTTTTCCACTGCTAGAAAGGGACCCAAGGGCATCTAAGCACCAAACTCAGGTGCCTCAATTTAGGTGAGATGAATTCCAGCCAAGAAGACTAATGGTACACATGGGACATCTCGTAGAGGTGCTAACTCATAAAACTCCATGCTCAAGATGCACCAGCTGCAGAGGACCATTTAGGATTTAGAATAGAATGGTCTAGACTATTTCAGCTGGAAGTTTTATTCATAATGTGCACATGCAGGCAGAAGCCCACATGGGTGCAAGAATGGGCATATCCAAATAAATAAGCCAGTATTGCCTACTTTCAGGACTGAGGAGGTTTAGAAGCATCCCTGGAAAGAGGCCTCCAACCTTCTCTTTTTAGAGGAAGTGGAATCAATAATACTGATGACCTTGAGCAACCTAATTTAATGTCATAAGAGGCCTTTGAGCAGAGAGTTGGATCAGGAAACCTACGAAGCATGCTCCCAACTAAAATTATTGTATGATTCTATGCAGCACTGAAAAAAAAATATTTGCAAATAGCTTTTTGTATCTTTTTGTCTTTCTGCACCATTTACACTTTATTTATACAAGTGCCAACTGTTACCAGTCCATCCCACAGGCCCCTTTCTTACACATGAAAAAAGTCCTTATGAATCTTGTAGAAATGCATTTAATGAGAATTCAAAATAAAATCCATCAATCAGCTTCGGTATTTATATCTTAAAACATACTCTTACGAAATTTAGTACTTATTGCTAAACCACAGGAGAAAGAAATCCAATATGACTTAATCTAATCTGGTCTATAAATAACAAAATATCTTAATAAGAAGTACATTTTATTGTGCCATATCTCTAATATGCAGAACTAACACTATTCTGAATCCCTGGGTTTATAATGTTGTTTGGGTAACTAAATATCTTTAGTTTTTTCAAACCACAAATTACCAATACTGTCAATCTCGAATACCTTTTAAAGTATCAGTTAGTTTTACCTGCAGCACCTGTTCTGGCTTGAAACACAGCAACGGAAGATGAAGATCCAAGTCAACAATTGGACTGTCCGGATCCTCTCGTGAAGGAATTACTATTTGAAGTGGTTTCATATTAAATACCTGTAATAACAGATGTTTTCCATTTACTTCTTAATGAAAACATTCCCAAACACATTTAATTCGGGATTTTAGTTCCAAGACAAAATACTAACATTAATTGAGAGCAAGACAACAGATATTTGCAGAAAATTGAAATAGAGAGGGAAATATTAAAAGACATAATAACTAGCTTGAAAGATTAACATGGCATTTGTCTCCTTTCATTCTCATAGGTTGTTTAGCTAACAAACCTTTAAATACAAATATATTCTTTTAACAGAATTAAACTTGCTTTGTTATAAGCATAATAAAATAATGGAATTTATATTTGTAGATACAACTGGGAAATCAAAAGTATTGATAAGGTTCATACAGGAAATAGAAAAAATATGAACAAAAGAACTGAGCATAGGTGCTCATGTTAAGAGACAGAACAAGCCAGAACGAACAAGCTCTTTCAGCGTTTCAAATACTCCAGCTCAAATCTCCAGAGGCCAGATCCTGCACGTGCTCCATATTTCAGCACTTAGCAGCTGGTTCAGCCAATCATTCAAACAATTTTCCAGCTATGCTATTTTTTCCCCACTCCTAACCCCTCATCCCAGGGTCAAGGAAAGCAGCTAAGGAGAAGTCCATGGCTGAAGCACTGCTTCCCTAGGAGCCATCTCAGTAGACAAAAGAGAGAGTCTGCTGAAATCACTGACTCAGCCAACATACACCATGTCTTGGGAAGGGTTATAAAGAAGAAAATTAATTCCTCGTTTTGCTTTGCTTGCGTGCATTGCTTTTGTTTTACCTATTAAACTGTCTTTACCTCGACCCACAAGTTTTCTCCCTTGTACCCTTTCGATTCTCTCCCCCATCCCACCAGGAGGGATGGAGCGAGTGGCTGTGTTGTGCTTAGTTGCCGGCTGGGGTTAAAGCACGACAACACTGTTCTGCTTCCCCAGAGTCATTCAGACACAAGGAAAGAACAAGTCCAGAGCTGTACGTGTTGTTCCAGCAAGTTATTTCTTTGGCCTCTTTTCTCTCACAGAGACTGCACTACTTCTCAGTCACTCCACTGCACATCTGCCCACCACACAAGATGACAGCCACGAGCATTCGCATCAGACAGCATGTCTCGATATCAGACACGAGATCAGGAACTCCCACACTTTGGTTGAGTGATAGTTACATGATTTACTGGAGTTTACAGACGTGTATTCAATGAGATGGCAATGGCATACTGTTCAGGTGAAAGGTAAGCTTACATGCTTATAGAGCAGTTACAGGCTGGAGCTTCCAACTGCTTCTAGTAGAGATTACGTAGGCTGCCCCTCTAGAAACCAAAAGCTAGATTATGCCGTCGCCATACCTACCCAGGCATCATCTCAGACAGTAAATAGTTGGCATGAGCCAAATCCTTCCCAGAAGGATATTAAAAACTAAACAGCATGACCAACTGGTATGCCAGTGCTCAAGCCTGCACCCTGGTACTAATAACGCATAGCCTTATTTTCAAAGCACAGGTATTGGCATCAGTTTTATTTCAGCAAGTAAAATCTCTGACGTGACAGTGAAGAATTTCCCCTAATTTACAGAAAACACCATCTTAGTGCTTTAAGACATAATGTTAAAGTAATTATGAAATTCAGCATCAGTACTTACCAAGTGGAGTGGTCCTGGTGGCGGGCTGGGTATTAAAAATAATTTTGCTGCAAATTCTTTTATGTGCTCCTCAACATCTAAATCCTTGAAAAGCCGCAGTTGCACTAGTAAGCTGAAATTAAATTCCAGAAAATTACTTATAAATAGTAACATGCAAACAGGAAAAAAAAGGACTTTTTGCTGATAAACTAGAACTTAAAAAAAAAAATATTAGGAGCAATGAAGCTATTATTCCAGCTAATTAATTTCTAATTTATTAGATACTTTAGCGGTTCCATTTAGTTTTAATTAATTAAAAAAACAGGACAGATGCTGCTGTGTCAGAAACAGGTTTTGTTACTTCCATGCATAACATACTACTGCATCATGTATATCAGAGGATGCAGATGGCACACTGGGTCTCATGACGGCACAGAAAACCTAGAGGTGAGACGCAGCTGAAGGAAGTGTCTTACAGAGACTGCCTGAGGAACAAAACACCCACAGCTGCAGCATCAGACATCAGCTCTGGGATGGAAAACAGCATCAGAGGAAAAGAGGGGTTGTAGACATGGGCTTAACTGCAGAGGAATGTGAAGCAAGAGTCATATTTAGCATAAGGCCTAGGCCTGCCTGAACACTGCTCTTTGCTATTGTTCCTACCCATACAAAGAACAAACACAGTTGTGCAAACCTATCAAATGTTTCTATTTTAGAAGTGTATTACCCTAGCTGTGTCAAAGCCACAAAGGTCACGTGGGTTATATTATATGCCAGATCAATCATTTAAACATACACAATATTAAGACTGCAAACCATTAAGTCCAACAGCATTTCTGAAATGTAACAATTAAGTTAGATATTTGTAGTCAGAAAGGGCTTTTTGTTCAATATAAGATTCACATGCATGTTTATAGTAAAAAAAAAAAAGATCCCAAACCTTTACAAAATCACAAATTTAAACCTGCAAACCTATACATACAGAAACTAGGAACTTAATCTGGTTATATTCCCCCCCTTGAGGTTTTATTTCAGTTTGCAGTTTTACTGGTTTCCTGCAGAAGAATACTTGCTCTTCAGGAAGAAAGTGGTCTAGAAAGCAACTGAATAGGTCAAGAGATATATTAGAATCCAGGACATCATATTTGTGTACGGCATTTAGATTCCTGAATAAAAATATTCTGTCGTATATTACTGAACTTTTAATTGGATTAATGAGACATTTAAGTTTACTAAATTCACATCTGGAAACTGCCCTGGGCTGAGTACTAGGCTGTTACACATATTCCCAAAAAGCCCATCAGCTATTTAGGGGTGCAGAGGAGGCAGGGGGAGGGAAATTTAAGAATTATCAAAGAAAACCAGATATGCTGTCACACTTAGTAACGACTTAGATGTGGCTTAACAGCGTAGGTAAACCTGCCTTTTTGTTTGTTTGTTTGTGGGGTTTTTTGGAGACCAAAAGCACGTATCAATACATCCAGTAAATGTTACAACAGAAACAACCCGACTCCAACGTTGAAAAAGCAGCAGATGTACACAAAGAACGGTAAGAGCTCCCTAATCAGTACACTGTGCCCATTAATGCAACGTAATAGCAGCTGACAGCTCTGCACTGCAAATGTCTGCTGAAATCAATGAAGTAATCTCTGAAACATTAAAGCAGAGAGTTAAGGAGTTTATCAACCTTACATTACCTCTATTAACTGTCCACAGACAGATGCTTCAGAAAGCCAGAACATCTAAGAACAGGTCCTTTGTACTGCCTCAATGCTGTGAGCTATTTGCACACTTCCACCTTTTCTCAAGGCAGCTGAAAGGACTAATACACAGGTTGGAAGATTTACTGTTTGAATGGAGCCTATTCATCCATCCAAGACAGGAGTTCATCCAGAAGGAGATTACTGCCAGGAATATTTCACTTTCCATGTAGTGTAACAGATTAAGGTAAAACTACCTGTGCAAAGTGCCAAAACCCCTCAATTTAAAACTGAACCTTTTCAAATAATGCTGTAGAATAATCCAACAGCCGCAGTGTTGTGAAACGGTCTAGATGCACATCTGCTTGCTTTGGAGAGAGGCAGACACACGCCATTCAAATCGTTCTGGATTTGGAAGCACTGTATGCTAGTAACATGTGAATTAGTTATAAAATTAATTACACAGAATATGAAGACCTTCGTTACTACGATGAAAGTCTGCAAGTTCCCATTGCAGTTCAAAGCACCTACATGGATTTATAATTTGACATTGCCTTTGTATCTCAGTTTGGTTTCAGTTTTCAGTTGTGATTTCTACTGTACTCTGCCATTTGAAAAAGTTTAGGAACCCAGGTTTTATCTGGGAATGCTTATGACGATAAAATACTTTGAGGACTCTTCTGAAAACAAGTACCACCCCACCTATAAGTAATCCTGTGCACTGCAGGTGCTGGAGAAAATAAGCTATGCACAGCAGAATTCTGGAGGAAAATGAAATCTTTTGCTGCCAAAAGGTCCTGAATGGAAGCAGAACCTCTTTAGATGCTACTTTAACATCAGGCCTTCATTAGTAATAATAAATAGTACTTTTTCACTAGTTCTCATGAGGAAAGGGTTACACACGAGAAATAGGTGGTTTGAGGTCCACCAGCAAGTATTTTCAAATCCCCAGACTCACAGAATGATTAATCAGTTGAAGCATCCTGCAGAACACCACTGAAGCATACCAAGGATACAAGTGCCCTGTTGAATGTGTTACTATTTGTTAAGTATACCAGACACTACTGCTTGAGTACACTCGGTCAACGAAAACACTTAATTAGATTTTTAACCCACTGGCCACCTGACTACAGCTAAGGCATCCGAATCAAAAATAACTCCCTTTCTGGTTTACAGGAAATAGTGACAATGTTTTGTAATGCTACAAAAAGCTGAAACATCCTCAGCTGTACAGCCGCTCAAAATATACCACTGAGGTCTTCACTGCAATTGCTTATATTCCATTCAGAACAGCCACACGTCCCAGCAGCTGTTTTATGCCATATGGAAAAGTTTCAGTAACAGAACCAAAATAAGGAAAAATGGTACCTCTCTACCCCTTCCTCCCACTCGAGTATACTCTAGCACAGTAAAACAGTTTTTCTAAAAAAAAAAAAAACAAAACCCCAACAAAACCAAACCCAAACAAAAAACCACACACACACCAAAAAAACCCCTCACGAAAAACAACATAAGGGCAGACATTCTGAAATTATCTATCAAATAGTATCAAGGAAAATATGTGGTGATCATGAAATTTAAAAAAAAAAAAAATCCAGAAGAAAATACCACAGAAACTTCATGAGTTGAGTTTCCAGCACAGTGGGAAACACCAGCACCAAATGCAGCTTTGTCACTTGCATTCCCCCTCTCCTGCCAGTTACAAACACTTGCATCTCGCATCCAGATGCGCCAGCAAAAAGCAGCGAGAAGAGCCGTGCAACTGTATGACAAATTCCCCTGTTAAATGACCAGGACAACACACAGTACTACCATGGAAGGCTGTTCTCCTGTGGACAACTCCCCTGTAATTATTCACATATTTACAAATCATTTAAGGCTTAGATGGTAGGTCACTGATAAATCTGAACTCCCCTTAGAAACCAGTACAGACTCAGCTTAAAGGGAAAAGCCATCCATAGTAGTTAGCTTGGACATTAATGCTTTAAATAGGTGCAAAACCCTACTATATATGATCAAGGCACAGGTGTTTAATTATAATGTTTAAAATACCTACCCAGAGGAAGAAGTTTGCATCTCTGCAGAGTTAACTCCACCTGGTTCCTGTCTGCTCTAAACAAATATGAGACCTAGAAATGTAACTTCTGGAATTTTCCATGGTTTTCCTGAACATTTTCCCACTTCTTCCTTAGTGGGCTATTTAAAAATCCACTCACAAATTGACTGCTTCTCCCAGCTCAGAGATGTCTCACTTCAGAGAAGAGATTACTCATTTATGAGTATACTATATAAACCACTGATGAACACCATAGCTGTAAAGCTGAATCTATACCATTTCCCACCCAGTGGAAAGCTAGTGTGTAATGAGCCCTCATAGAGGGCGAGTTCACAGTGTAAAAGGAGCATGAATCCCGTTATAAAGACTGGATATAAACAGTAAAGCACCACAGCTCAGGTATATAGCTGTTAAGAGTTACATATGCAGATCAGTGCTTACTTGAGATTTGAGACTATAAAAAGGCAGCAATGAATCAGCTCCTGCAATACCAACAGCTGATATACTTGACTTAAACATAAGGAGTGGAAAAAGTAATCTGGGCAGGAAAGGAGAAAAGGAAACTAGCACTTGCTTTTTATTTTACCGATTATCTTGATTTCACACTAACCTGTGAATACCCAGTTTCCATCATGTTGAAGTCCTTTGTTCACATTAAACCCCTTTACTAATGCTTTGAAAATGACAGAGCAGAGGTAGCATGAACAGCATCAGTGGTGTGTTTGCTCATACGTAAGGGCTGCCAGAGTGACTCGTTTCTGATATCACAGCTTTTTTGGAGGCAACATCTGAACTGCCCAAGAGGAAGGCACTGCTTTGTTCCTCCAGGGCTCTCTTCATCTAAACCAGGGAAAGCCAGTCGGTGCTCTAACCAGATCCAAGCCCACAGCATTGGGAAGAAGAGGTGCATGGGGTGGGGAAATGAGTGCTCAGGTCTCATCCTGGTTTGGAGTCAGGTTAGGGGCTAGTGATGCACATCAGCTAGCACCCAGGAAGCACACCCTTACTTGCTCATCCACTCAGGATACAGACCGCTGGTAGAACAAACTGGAAGATTCAAGCCCTGACCTAAAACCTTCTTTCAACTTATGTATAAGAAGCAAATACCTGCAAGAGGAAAACACCTAACTTCAAATTTGACTCTAGAAAGCTTGACTGGAATTTAGTGAAAAAAAAACTCTTCTACTTTTTGGACTACACGTCTGCAAGTGAGGATTACCCAGTAATGTCCAATGTACAGAGACAGGCTCCCTGATGCAAGGAGTTTTTAATCCACTTCAGAGTAGAAGCACATAGATTTTAACAGTTTAACAATAAAGCAACACACAACCTCAAAATAAGTTACATTACTAAATAACAAGACAGACCTATGTTCACTTATCTTTTAACTCATCTACACTGTGGAGTATTTGAGTGTTTCTAACCAGTGAAGTACTCTGTATCCTAAGATTTTCCCTCCTAGTTCTGTGACAGCCAAATAACCACTGTACCCTCAAGTGACTTGGATTATTTAGTTAAAGAATAAAGTGTCATTAACTGCTTATTAATACATATATTCATGTTCTTATGGCATTTATTTGGTGCATTATAAAGAGGTTTTTGTGCCTTCAAAGTGGTTTTCACCAGCATGGCGAAATTACAGTTAACCCTCTTCCAAAAAAACAAAATCTTTGAGAAATCTGTTCCCTGCAAATTAGTATTTTCTAGACCTACCAAAAACCTCAAAGAAAAAGAAGACAACATCATAACTAATTTCCTTGATATTTAGAACTTGCGCGTACTGTCTGGGTGACATTCACATTACATTTCTTCTTTTCCTCTCCCACATATCTCATACTGCCAAAACTCTAAACTCACGCTAGTTTTGGCACTATGCAGCCATCCTGACCACATCATGCAAATTCATGTATTAAAACCTACACAGTCATTTCCAGAAGAAACTCAGAGGACAGCAAGTCTTACCAAGAGAGACAGTCCTTCAGGGCATTAAAATATGGGTATCTGGATATAACACAAATAGCGAATGGTACAAAACAGACAGGCATCTTCGCAGTCTGCGCAGATTCCCAACGGGTCTGCCCGTTCGAGGAAATACAGCCATCCTGCAAGAAAACTACAGATTAATGTGCTTATGTTAATCATGAATTTATGGCCGATATTTTCTTGAGAACCCTAGAGATACGATATCCAATTCCCACTAAATTTCAAGGGGATTTGGATGCCTATCTCCCTTAAGCTCTTCAGAAAAAATGTCAGCCTACAAGACTTAGACATATGTATTAAAAAGAAATTCAGAGCAAGAGATACTTAGAAAGAACACAGGGTACAATCTACACCAAAAAAATGTCCAAGGGACCAAGTCTGCTCCTAAATATTCAATATTCCTATTGAATATTCCTAAATGAAATCCATAACAGCTTTTCCTAATGCAGTGCTGTTCCAATGTACTTAATTTACCATGGCAATATAAAGTATGATTTGTTCTGTATTCCTACTAACATAAAAACGTATCTGTTAACTAATTTCATAAATTAAACCTGACATCATTTTCAAAGTGTTTTGTTTTATTTTATATATTTTAATATGATTTAATAAAAGCATGAGTTAAATAACATACTTGCATAGGCTGGTAGTACTGTGCAACAACACCGTATGTTCTGTTACCACAGACATCTGTGAAGACCAGGAAATGAATGTGGTCCTCTTTTGATTCAGAAGTTATATAAAGTCCTCCTGCAATGAAGGCAGAAACCTTTTTTTTAACTACATATTTAACTACAGCTGCTTGAAATGCGATTCATGACAAATACTGCACATTTCCACTTAATTTCAAGAGAAATGTCTCATTTTAAGGGATTAAAATGCACATATGCAATCCATTTGATCTAAGGGTTGTTACAAGGGCTGTAACCTGCACATTACTGAAGAAGCAAAAATACTGTATAATTATTCTGCACTTTAAGTGACAAAACACAATATCTTTTTCTTTCAAGATATCTATAATGTCTGCAATAGTGACACGCATATTAAAATTTCTGCAATTAAACCTGGAGGAAACAGTCACTATTTCAGGTGTATCTTAATACCACATGAAAAATGAAAGAGTACTCAGTCATTTTTTGGGGGAAAAAAATTTGAAAGTGTGCGCACTTCACTCAAACCAAGATTTACCAATAAGGACTAAAGTGACTTTCATCTTCCCTCTCTTGCAGGTGTTGCAGCTACTATTGCTAATAGATCTGTTTCACACAAGACAGCTATACAGAGTAAGGGCTGCTTTCATCACTGACCTGCTCACAAGCAGACACATTTTTTACACTGTGAAATACAGAGAGAGAGAGAAGTTGATCATTAAAAAAAAAAAAATTGGCTGTACTATGGGTCAACAAATATATATTAAAACAGTTCTCATTAAGAAGTGTGAATCCTGCCATACCTGGGAAGCACAGCTGTGGCAAACCAATAAGATCAACGTCCTTTGGAACTGCAATATCTTCAGTGTCAGGTGCCTTCTGCTCCCCATTGAGACTCTTGACATTTTCAATCTTTGGTCTCTCTTTCTTCTTTCGGAAAGACCGGCGTTTACTTTTACTCAAGTTATTACCACTTGTAGTCACCTGAATATCATCTCTGCTGATAAATGGAGGCACAAACACAGAAAGAACTTCTGGATCAAGGGGAGGAAGACTTTTGGGTTTTCTTTGAGTACCCTATTTAAAAAAAAAAAAAATACAAACAACTCTTAAGTTGACACTCATCCTGATAGGTTTTTTTAAACAATTTTTTAGCCCTGTTTTCTCTTTACCCCTAAAATTGTGGGTTTAAAATAAATTTTTTTCTTCTTCCTAAATAATTAATTTTTCCTTCTAATTTCTTGCTTTACATATATTAATGCAAGGGGAACACTCTGGGCATTTGTCATCATTCAAAATGCACCATATCAGTATTATGCCTCTGGCATAAGAAAACCAACAAATATCAAATACTGTATTTCCTCCTTTGAAGTGTTAGGACATACTTAAGCTGTACTTAAAATAAATAAACACTGGTAGCAAGAGAAACCAGGCAACAAATAAATGAAAACAAAGAAAAACAGCTGAACTCCATAGATAAGTCTTTGTTCAATTTCAGGAAAAGCTGCGTTTTTCCTCTACAGGAAAAAAAAAAGACCAACCCACACAAGCTTTCACAAGACACATTTTAACTTTATAAGGCAACTAAAAGAAAGTACAATTAAAAATTACATTCACTGTTACAATAAACATAATTTTAAGACAATGTACAACATGAAGCCATGAAAATTTCTCTGTATACTGATGACTAAGTGGAACAGGCATCCCAAGAGCATGTATGAAATTACAACATCTTTTAGTAGGCAGTACTACTGCACTGAAAGCTCTTGCTGCCTCACTATGAAAAACCTGTGGAGAAAGTGATCCAAAGAGGAGATTTCCTTGTACTTGTGAGCACTTTTTGTATTCTTGACCATATAGTACAGACAAGCAGGTGCATTTTCAATTACTTCACTGTGATTTGAATTCTTCCTACACAGTCAAAACAGCAAGTAAAAGCTTTGTTTAGTCAACGGATATTTGGAAACAGGAAAGGCAAGCCTCATTGCGCTAAAAAGCTGTTTCGTTTTCAACTTTCTGCTAACTGATTCAAAGATAGATGAAGCATACATGCTGCTTTTACCTTCAGACATGACACATCGATATTACTTGTATTTCAGATATTCCTTGAGAACCAATGCTGGCCTCTCATCATTTCACTACTTTTTAAAATAACTGCAACATACAAAGCTCTATTCCTTCACTGAAGCCAATCTTCCACCATCCAAGTTTTGGAACAGAAAGTCTCAGCTTATTTCCTTAGTAGATGAGTCCACCAGTAGTCTTCTTCACATTTGAGCATCATAGGAAAAATGGGAAGGCATACTTACAGTAACTAGTACATCATGTAGGTATCTTAAGCTCCACCATATTCTGTAAGAGGACACTTGAAAGACAGTACTTCAATAAAAGTAAAAAGTGAAAAAAAACTCTTTTAATGAACACACGGAGTCTGAACTAGAAAGAAATTGGGGTGGAAAAGAGAAAAGTTCAGATAAGTATCCATTGGTATATTCAAAAGATAGCAATGACTTTAAAAAGCACGTTACAAATTGGGGTACTCAGTGCCATATCCTGCCATGCTAAAAACTTCAAGTGTCATTTTCCTTCGTTGGCAGCTGACATCCATTTCAAGTGAAGAAACTGGAAACACAGATAAATCCAACATGATCACTCTCAAAATAACACGCAGCTAAACATTTCAGAAGGAAATTAAGAATTAAGGCTCAGCCCTGAGGCTGTTACACAAGAAAAACACAGACCTACTCAAACACTAACAACCTCAACTTGGCAGATTTGCCCTGCAGAGGTTTTCATACAAAGTTGCTTTGACGGGGCAATCCCTGACTTACATTGAAGGCATCTCTGTGCTACAAGTGCTGGATGACAGCCAGCGATTTAATAGCCTCACAGTGTAACAGCTTCTAAAATGGCAGGTCCTTGATGTCTTGAACTACAACAGAGGCATTAAACACTTTTTTTTTTTTTCCACAGAACAGCACTGTCAGCACTGTCGCTGACCCAGTGACTTAGTCCTCAGCATTCATGTCAGCCTATATTAATGTCTACGGCCAAAGTCATATTTTGTTACCGTTTCAGTTCAGGGATAGTGAATAGGCAGCAACAGAACAATATTCACTTGTTTCTACTATTCTTTGAACATTTATTTTCTCTGTTTCTACTGTTACTTCTTCATTTTGAAATACTTCTGTCACTTTTTACTATCAAATGTCCTTGCATCATACATAGCTTCTTATAAACACTAATGCCTTTTCTTTCCTCTAATTCTCCAAGATTCCAGAAGCCAAGGATTATATTCCAACCCCATTCACTATGGTGCCATATAGGACACAGATAAAAGACAGACTTTTTACAATGAACACGCTATTTTAGACACAAACAAGAAGCAGTGTGTTGAAACCACAGATCAGAGTGTGATCTCTGCTATTTGGCGTTTCCTTGGTCTCGTTCTCCTCTTTCCATCACTGCAGAAGTTAATGTCATTTTGAATGTCATAAAAGAACTGGCTTCTTTCAGGAACAATGGGGCAGGGAAAAGTATGAAGCCTTAGAAAAATCAGGTTGGAAAGGAACTCTGGAGGTTCTAGTGCAACCCTTTGCTCAAAGCAATGATAACTTTGAAGTTAGATCCAGTTGCTCTGGGTCTCATCCAGTCAAGTTTCAGAAGTCCCTTAGGAAGGAGATTCTTCCTCCCTTGTGCTCCAGCCCTCATGTAGCTTAGCTGCTTCTGGTCTTGCTCCCATTTGTCAGCAGTTCTCCAGTATCAAGGTACCCAAATCTGGGACGGTATTCCAGATGTGACCTTAAGAGCATTAAGTAATAACAGCAATAGTCATAATTCCTTCCCTTTGCCTGTGAGCTACAGTCCTGATGATGCAGGCCGTTACACGGTTACTTTCCACTGCCACAAGCGCACACTGCTAACTAATGCTCAACGAACGCACCTCATTTCTTTCACGCAACTGAATACCTAGGGGACCATTACAGAAGAAGAAAAAAATTGGTTTGGTGGTTTATGTCTGCATTGGCAGGGCCAGAAAGCGTAATGCAGGCATTGCAAGAGACAAGATCTGTATCACTGACTGCGGTAGGCAGATACAGAACCCAACGATGCAGCCAACAGGAAGATCTGAGACATCTCGCAGACAGCTTGCATGTCACGCTTGCCAGATCAAAACCCAGCTTTATCGTGGAAGATAACTTGGGGGAAAGAAGTCTTACCAAAGATGGCTGTATGATCTTCACTATTGTACACCTCATTCCTACAAAAGACACACTTCCAACAGAAAAAAAAGTCATCTCTAGCTGAAAATAGCAGCCTTCAATCTCTTCAAATGGAAATCTTACAGTGATAATTATCTTGGCAATAAGGACAATTAATTGATGGATGACAGCCCAGGAACTTTGGTTTCATGAGCTTCAATAAAAAGCTGTATCTTTGTTCCTGGTATCCCCCGATAGGTCAGTCATATGAGACTTTTCTTACTTCAGGGGTGGGTTATATCCTGTTCCTGCCAACTTCATTGACTTTATTACTCTGTACTGCAAACAATTTAAGAATGCACAAACACACTTTCAAGGCCAAGATCTGAAGCACTACCAAGATTTTTACCCTGTTGTTTCATTTGTAAATACCATTAGAGGTCCACTACTTTCCATTGAAATGTTCTCATTTTCTGTCAATAAGCTCTCTTCTTTCTACATTCACTGAAATTAGACACAAACATATTCCACCATTTCCTCATGTACATAGTGCTACAGAAGGAAAAGGAAGTGGAGTAAATCTATAAACTCACCCTAAGACATTGATTGAAATCCCTGTAGTGTAACAGCTTGCAGGGAAGTTACTACAGTTAATACTGAAAAGCGTAGGGACTACTTTCCCTTCTGATACTCCATTATATACCTTCAGCAAAGAAACAATTCAAAACCTGTCGTGTGATCAGAATGGCCTCTACTTTTTGTAGCCCATTTCTTATTTGTTGTTCTACAGGTTTCTTGGAAGCAATGAGCTCAAACTGAGAAGACTGGAATGAAAAAGAAATTCCCCTTCTGTTGGATTTACTTCTGACGCAGATGCCAAAACCACACATACACAATGATTTCAAAAGTCTGGTGGTGACATTTATGGCACAACTATTTCCCCAATTTCAATGTATACATGAAGGCGATCCTGAAATTTGAACCTCTGCTTAGCTGATATCACTTAAGCTGACATCAGCAAAAGCTGTCTCCCGAGTGAATGAGCAGCAACAAGTTTAACAAAGACTTCTTTATCTCTTGCTATTAGAGCGCACAATCAAATTCAAGTTCAAGCAAGACAACCGAGATCCCTGGGAGCAGCTTGGCTTTTCCGCACGTGCTGGCACCACAGCTACTCCCACAGCAGGGCGGCTCACAGGTATCTAAGAAAACCATCGGCACATTTTAACAAAGCAAAATCAGGAAGAGGACTTTAATTGTTAACTCACATGTGAAGTGGCTAGAGTCGTAAACAAATTATAAACCACATATTCAAAGCAGAAACCAGCCCATCAACTTCTGCCGTATCTGAATCACTCAGGCTGTGCCAAATTCAGAGCACTAAGCTCACAGGGATTTAGACCTCGTGTTGTCCTAAGGATACAAGTTACCAGGCTTTACCTCTCACTTTTATCTCCAACGGAAGACAGGAAATTGGATATCATCCAGTACAGGATATGCACTGTTCAAGCATTCTGCTGTTCCTCCTTATATAAAGCTGCACTGCATCCTCCGTCTAAGCTCAGACCTTTGAAAAAGTGTAATTACTTAACACCACTAC